CCTGAAATGCCTACTTCTCCTACATCTCATGGTCTTGTGGTCTAACTAGAAACATGGAGAAAACTAGACAACAAGTGTCACTTCAAGGAAGTATGAGGGGATTTACAACAGATGTACATTACTGAAGAGCATCACAGTATCCTTTGACAAATATTATTTACAATCTAAAGTACTCTATTTCAGTGTATATTCCTGCATGCATTTTTCTGGTAGTTTTATAAAGCTCAAGGTCTTTCAAGTTAACATGCTCCATTGGTATATTTGTAAATGGCCAAACTAAAAAGAGAAAGAGAGAGTGGGAAAACAGGACACAACGCACAGCCATGTTTATACTTGGGTCACAATTGGATGCCCAGTCACAAGCTACCTAATTATTTCCAACTCAACAATAGACAGGACATCTGTAGACTCTGGTAGAAATACAAAACAAAAACTGTTTTAACAAAAGTTACAATTTAAGGTGGCTTTAAAGAAATAGCATAATTCTAGTTTTTTTTTTTGCAAAGGCTCATCTTCAATTTTTAAAAATTCAGCCACTTGACTAGGTCTGCTAGCAGACCCATGCTAAGTTATACTCAGGAACAGTGTGGTCAGTGTCATCGAATATCCTTCTGGGGAGAAAAAAAGGACTTGGAAAAGTGGTAGCAATAAGGTTAAACCTCTCTTCACTAGCCCCTTCCAAAGTTTTTTTTTCAGGGGGTTGGGGGGAGAGGGGGGTGGAGATAGCCTAGTGGTATTATCACTAGACTACTGGTCAAAAACTCATCTAATGTCCTGGGGACCTGGGTTTGAATCCTGCTACAGCAGATGGTAGAATTTGAATTCAATTTTTTTTAAAAATCTGGAGTTAAAGAATCTACTGATGACCCTGAAACCCATTGCCTACTGTCAATAAAACCCATCTTCTTCACTAATGTCCTTTGGGGAAGGAAGTCTGCCATCCTCACCCGGTCTGACCTACATGCGACTCCAGACCCACGGCAATGTGGTTGACTTTCTATTCCCCTCAACTGGCATAGCAAGCCAGTTGTACCAATCGCTACAAAGTCTCAAAACAAAAAACCAGATGGATCACCTAGCATCAACCCAAGCACTGGAAAAGACAATGGCAGAGACAGTCCTGTCAACCCCACAAAGTCTTCTTTACTAACATCTGGAGACTCATGCCAAATTTGGGAGAGGTGTCTCAGACTAGTGAAGCAACAGCCTGACAGTCATATTCACAGAACTATACCTTACAGACAACATCCCAGACTCCACCATCACTATCCCTGTATATGTCCTGTCCCATCGGCAGGGCGGACCCAGCAGAGGTGGCAGAACAGTGGCATATAGTCAAGAGGGAGTCATCCTAGGAGTCCTCGATATTGACTCCGGACCCCAATATGTCTTGTGGCCCAGGTGAAAAACAAAGAAACATCACGCTTATTACCATATACCGTCTTCCCTCAGCTGATGAATCGGTACTCCACCATGTTGCATAACACTTGGAGGAAGCACTAAAATGGCAAGGGTACAAAACATACTCTGGGTGGAGGATTTCAACATCCACCACAAAGAGTGGCTCAGCAGCAGCATTATTGATCGAGCTGGTCGGGCTCTAAAGGACATAGCTGTTAAACTGGATCTGTACCAGGTGGGTGAGGGAACCAACAAGAGGGAAAAACAAACATGTCTCATCGTTACCAATCTGCCTTCACTGGTCAGCACATTTGAGTATAGGAGTTGGGACATCATATTGCAGTTGTACAGCACGTTAGTGAGGCCATTTTAGAATGCCAAGTACAATTCTGGTTGCTCTTCTGTAGGAAATTTATTATTAAACTGGAGAGGATTCAAGAAAAATTCACAAGGATGTTGCCAAGACTGGATGGTTTGAGTTATAGGGAAAGGCTGAACAGGCTGGGGCATTTTTCCCCAGAGCGTTGGATGCTGAGGGGTGACCTTAAAGAGGTTTATAAAATTGGAGGAGAATTGTTAGGGTGAATAGCCAAGGTCTTTTTCCTAGTGCTGGGGGAGTCCAAAACTAGAAGGCATAGTTTTAAGGTGATAGGGGAAAAGATTTAACAAGCACCTGAGGGATAATTTTTTTCCACACAGAGGGTGGCATGTGTATTGAACAAACTGTCAGAGGTGGGTATAATTAAAACATTTCAAAGGCATCTGGATGGGTACATGAGTAGGAATGGTTTATTTGCCAGCTGCAGATGCATCTATCCATGATGGTAGCAATATGAGTGACCACCACACAGTCCTTATGGAGATGAAGCCCTGCCTTCACATTGAGAATAACCTCCACTGTGTTTTGTAACACTATCACTGTGCTGAACGGGACAGGCTTCAAAGCATCTCAAGACCAGGCAGCCATGAAGTGCTGTGGGGCAAGAGCAGAATTGTACTCCAACACAATCTGTAATCTCATGGCCTGGAACATCTCCAATGCAACCATTACCAGCAAGCCAGGGGATCAAACATGGTTCAATTGAGGACAGGAGGCCATGCCAGGAGCAGCACCAGCCATACCTGAAAATAAGATATCAACCTGGTGAAGCCACCAAACAGGACTAATTGCATGCCAACCCACATCAGTCTACTCTCAATCATGAGAGAAGTGATGGAAGGTGTAATCAACTGTACTATTAAGCAGCACCTACTCAGCAAGAACCTGCTAATTGATGCCCAGTTTGGGTTCCACCAGGGCCACTCAGTTCCTGACCTCATTAAAGCCTTTGTTCAAACACGGACAAAAGAGCTGAATTCCAGAAGTGAGGTGAGAGTGATAGCTGCATTCGACGAAGTGTGGCATCAAGGAGCCCTGGCAAAACTGGCAATGAGTATCAGGGGCAATTCTCTGGTGGTTGGAGTCATACTTGACACCTAGAAACACGACTGTGCTTGTTGGAGGTCAGTCATCTAGGTCCAGGATATCTCTGCAGGAGTTCCTTATGGTAGTGTCCTAGTCCCAACCATCTTCAGGTGCTTCAATGACCTTCCCTCTATCATAACATCAGAAGTGGAGATGTTCACCGATGATTGCATAATGTTCAGCACCATTTGTGACTCCTCAGATACTGAAGCAGTCCATATTCAAATGCAACAAGATCTGTATAATATCCAGACTTGGACTGGCAAGTAATATGCATGCCACACAAATGCCAAGCTATGACCATCACCAATAAAACACAATCTAACCGCCACCCCTTGACATTCAATGATGTTGCCATCACTGAATCAACTAGAAACTGAACTGGACTCACCATAATAACACAGTGGCTACAAGAGCAAGTCAGAGGCTAGGAATACTGTGGCAAGTAACACACCTGTCTCCCCAAAGCCTGTCCACCATCTACAAGGCACAATTCAGGAGTGTGATGGAATAGTCCACATTTGCCTGGATGAGTACAGCCCCAACAACATTCGAGAATCTTGACAACATCCAGGACAAAGCAGCCCACTTGACTGGCACTATATCCACTCCCTCCACCACTAATGTTCAGTAGCAGCTGTATGTACTGTCTACAAGATGCACTGCAGAAATTCAAAGATCCCTAAGACAGCATTTTCCAAACCCATGACCACCTCCATTTTTGAGGATGATGACAGCAGGTACCTGGGAACACCACTACTTTTAAAGTTCCTCTCCAAGCCACTCACCATCCTGACTTGGAAATATAATCGCTGTTTCTCACTGTCGCTGGCTTAAAGTCGTGGATTCCCCTCCCTAATGGCATTGTGGGTCAACCCACAACTGGTGGACTGCAGTGGTTCAAGAAGTCATCTCACCACTACCGTCTCAAGGGCAACTTGGGATGGGCATTAATTGCTGGCCAGCCAGTGACACCCACATCCCACAAAATAAATATGAAAAATTCAGTGTATACCTAGGCCCTTGGAATGAAAACAATTACTTTGGGATTTGCTGAATATTTAGAGTAATTATTTACATTTGTTAATTGGACAGTAAGGACATTTTATAAATCAATATAAATCCTGTTCTGTCAATTAGTTTACCTCAGATTGACCAAATAATTTTCCATTATAGTATTTAATGCACTAAAAATACTAATTATGCCATTTTGCTTTCTTTACATTCCTAGACAGCAACACTTAACCACATATGTAAAAAGGGACAGACTCCTGGTGTTGATTTGTGGTCAACTGACACATTTTAACAATGAGCTAGATCACCATTTGTTGTGAAGAATGCCTGGTGTTAGAGATGTTAATACTACTGATTTCCTGTATTTGAGGGAAGTAGGGGAAAACAGCAGAACGCTCATTAAGTAACTGATCAGCAGAGATTAAAAATATGCACAAACCCAACAGTTAGTGAGCCAAACGGTCTTCTTCGTGTTTTGGACTCAAGATCTTAAGATGAACCATTGACAAATCCTTGGAAGCTTTGCTTGCACTTTGCTACTAAGTGTAGCAGCAAGGAATGAACTGGCTCAGCTCCTAGTAATTTGAGGAAAACTGTCAATTATTTTCCTTCCCTAAGCAGAAAAGTTTAGATAAATCTATATAGATAGTGATCTCTTCTAAAAAATAAAATTAATGTTATATAAATTTTAAAAAGAAATGGCTCAAAGTAGACTAAGTATGCTACAATTTTCAAACTACAAACAAATGACTAGCAACTCAGGACTATACCTTACTACATTGGGCTACAAGTGAACTGCATGGAACAAAAAGTCAGCACATCACGTACTGAGAACATGCAAGAAACTTCATTAAAAACTCAAGTTTCTTCATGTTTACCAAGTATTTTGTTTGCTCAAAACGCAGCAGTGACGTGTGCTGCCGGACTATAAACTAGGATAATTTAATTAAATTTGTATTATCTTATGCATTATCTAGATGACCTATTGAACTAGTTACCCATTTAATGGCCAAATTTTAAACAAATGTACCAATGTGTAAACTTTTAAAAATTGCTGGCAAACAAGTGACAATAATACAAGTGCTGAAATATAAGAAAATAAAGCCTCAACTCAACTCACCTGGTAAGAGTGTACTCCCTGAGTCCTGAATGTAGGTTCATGGCAGAAAATGTACCTATGCACCCTCGCAACCGTTTATCGCGGCCAATCTTCCACGTCACAAATAATGGGCTGAAAAATAAATACAGCACATAAGCAATGCCAGTAAGTTTTTTTTTTAAAAAACACATTTCATATCGAATTAAAATGCGTGTTGTCTGCTATGCTTCCAAAATTTTTTCTAACTTTCCTCTTTTTGATAAACTGTTAGTTGAATTTTTACAATTCACTTTTAAATTTCAAATCCACATTACAAGTATTATTCATACTGAATACTTATACTTATACTTCTGTCACTACGTTCCAAAAAAAATGGAGAAAGTGGCAGCAACAGCCATAATTTATGGTTAGTGGTTTAAAATAACAACCTTAATATTTAACACTTCAATTCAAGCTTCATTAAAATCAGGAAGCAACTCAGGATATCAGCAACTGCTTCATGTAAAGTAGCTTAACACATACCAGTTTATGCTGGGCAATATGCAAGTCGTGAAAAAATATAGCCAACCTTTAATTCAGAAACTGAACTATAGATACAAAAAAGGCAAATGGGAAACTTGTGCCAGCCATTAAATCTGGCCATAATTGGTACGATCACATTCAAAGAATTCATGAATGCAGTCACAACCCAAAGTGGAATCAATGCTATTTAAGCAAGTTGTGATGCAAGATGTGTATTTAAAAAGATCTCTTCATATCATTTACTTTGGATTTTAGATATTTGAATTTTGAACTAATGACATATGGATCTTCTATATGTCTAAGTAATGAAATGGTTAACTTGTAGGTACTTTTGTAGCCATGGCATTTTTCAAATCAACAGTCAGAAAGTGTGTTAGGGGAGGCCAGGGGGAATTTGTTTACATTAGGAGAGTTTACAAGCTAACAAAGTAAACAGTGGAGTACGTTAGGCTTTCAGACAGGAGATTCTGGAATTGATCTCTTTGGGCTTGGGTTCAATAGCTTCAGGAAGAGGTTAGACTCTTGGTGGGGAGGCATAAAGGCAACAGTTAAATTAAGGCTGATATACCCTGTATGTGAAACAGAATGGAATTCATTTTGATGAGAGAATTGTGAAGGCAAGTTATTGTTATTAATGAGATTGTACTTTACCAAGCATTTCAAAATCTGTCCATTCGTCTATTGTCTTCAATACGTCACCTTGCTCCCTGGCTAACATCTGTCTTGGGCTTGCTGCAGTGCTCCAGCAAAGCTCAGCGCAAGCTCGAAGCACAGCATCTCATTTTTTGCTTAGGGACCCTGCAAACTTCAGGACTCAATATCCAGTTCAATAATTTTAGGGCCCCGAGCACCTTCTTCATGTCCTTCCCCCAAGCTCCACACATCAGGCATCACATGGGCCGATGCCATTACCATCCTACTAACAGCTACTAATGGTGCCCATTAGCAGCTACTGATTCTCTCATGCTGACCATTATCCATTCTTTTGTTCAACTATTCTTTTGCTGTGGGCTTCATCTCCACCTATTGTTTACTCCTCCCACCTCCCCATCTTCAACATAAAAAAACCTTCTCCTCATCACAATCAGTTCTGAAGAAGGGTCACTGGACCCGAAATGTTTTCTGCTTTCTCGCCACAGAAAGCTGCCAGACCTACCAAGTTTCTCCAGCAAGTTCCATTTTTGTTTCAGGTTTCCAACATCTGCAGTTTTTTTTTGAACATATATGTTCTGAACAGTTTTGTTCATTCTATTTCATCTTCATTCCTTTTGAATAATAAGCTTTCATTAAAAACGAATCTGCAGCTTGATGTGTGCGTGCTTTAATGAAAGACCACCTTGTCGAAACCAAAAAAACCACAATGATTTATCAAACTAATTTAAGTCTGGAATCTGACTTGCCGTCCTGTGAGATCATAACAGAAATTAAGCCTTAACTATTTTCTGCAATTGACATAATGTGGGCTGAATGGCTCAGACTAGTCCTTGTTTTTGAAAGGATAAAATCTAAAATCTAAAATCTGTAAAGTGTAATTATCTATTTATGTAAATGTATTAATTTTATGCAAAGTGTCATTCATAGTGAGGTATGCAATTAAGTGAAGGCACGATGAGTTGTTGGTACAATTCTATACAGCACTAATGGCTCTTAAGCGAAATAATGTTTATATTAAAGGTTTCACAATGCTGACTGATCAGATTCAGTAGATGCAGATTAAAACAGTCCATGACAAGAGTTATTTTCTCAGATTCCTGAAGGAGACAGTTGCTGGTATGACATTAAAATATAAAAAATTACTGGGTGCAATCTTCTAAAAGGAGGATAACTGGCAAACAGCAGTTCAAAAGTCAAGCTTACTGGAAACTCAAGTTTCATAACTTTCGGCAAACAATTTCTACTCATTCATGATTAGTGTGTTAATGGCAACGTCAGCATTTGTTCCCCAATCCCAAATGCCTTTGAGAAGACACAAGTGGACCATCTCCTTGAATTATTACAATCTATGTGATGCCTGCATACCCGCAGTATTGTTAGGGAGGCAGCTACAGGATTGTGACACAGCAAAGAAACAATAATGTAATTCCACGTCAAACTCAGGATGGTATATAGCTTGTGGCAGAGGATTCTCAAATATCAACTGGCTAAATAAAAACAAATAGCTGTCAAAACAAATATTGTACTTGAAAACACTGCTACATAATTTGCCAAAGATTGTGGGTTATGTTTGATGAAAATCCCTGCTCTTAAGAGAAGGAATATGAAATTAGATCAGTTGCTGGACACATTTCTCAAAATCTCTACAGTGGCTGGCTCCACTGAACAGAAGTGAAAGCGAAAGTTATCTTCATCCCAGAGGTCCACAAGTTGATCTCATAGAAACAACTGGTGGCATGTTTAAACCAGAGGGTCACCACACCTCAGCTAATGGGCAAAGTTGAGGTGCTGTCGTCTTTATGATGACCTCAGCCAGTAAACTGAACCTGCACTGTTGCAGTCATTCTGCATTGCAAAACAACCTACTTAACTGCAATATGATTGAGGTCAGGACTACAGAGTGTTACCCATAAGACAGATGCAAACTATATCCCAATAACATGAACAATTTTATTATTAAAAGCTCCCCAAAGATGAAACCATAAATTCCAACAGTAATTTTAACAAGATCTTTGGTAAAGAATGATTCTACCTATTCACCTAACTCCATTAAAAAGGAGTGAAAAGGAGAAAGAAAGAAAAAAAAGAGAGGAGGATTGAGAGGCAGTGAAAGTCAAGACAACATTCAAGATCTTTAAACTCAAATCTTTGAAGCTTTATACCCATTTGTAGTTATTGGTTATTTTGGTCTCCAGTGGGAAGTCTAAAAAGCTTTTGCTCACAACAAATCAATCACTTAACATGGAGTATGATAACCGTAGGCCTAAATGGAGGCCAAATCTCTAGCTATCAGCTTTTAAAAGAGGTAATTTTTATTTTAAATCAACAGAGAAAGTAATAGGCATTATTTCAGGTAAAGCAGAAGCCTCAAAGTTACCCAGTAGTGAGGGGTCCAATTCCCCTGCAGGGAAAGCTACTTAGTGATCAACAGTCGACATAACCAGGCTACAAAAAATATAAATTAAAAATGGAACCAACTGACATTGAACTAACATCTGTACAAAACAAAAATGGCAATTCTAGTAAATGGGGAAAAAATTAAGCAAGAACAACTAGAATGAAACCTCGGACATTGAGAGTGTGCTAAGATGAAGGAGGTCATTCCAGAATCATAAACCCTACAGTGCAGAAATTGGCTAGTCAGCCCATTGAGTTTGTACCAACTCTCCGAAGGGCATCCCACCCAGATCCAACCCCACCTCCCCCAACCCCCAATCCTGTATTTACCATGGCTAACCACCTAGCCTGCACATCCCTAGTCACTACGGACTACTTAGAACAAAGAACAAAAGAACAAAGAAAATTACAGCACAGGAACAGCCCCTTCAGCCCTCCAAGCCTGTACTGACATGCTGCTAGTCACAACTAAAACCCCCTACTGTTCTGGGGACCATATCCCCCTATTCCCATCCCATTCGTGCATTTGTTAAGACACCCTTTAAAAGTCACTATAGTATCTGCTTCCACTACCTCCCCCGGTAGCAAGTTCAGGGACCCACCACTATGTAAAAACTTGCCTTGTACATCACCTTTAAACCTTGCCCCTTGCACCTTAAACCTATGTCCCCAGTAACTGACTCTTTCACACAGGGAAAAAGCTTCTGACTGTCCAGTCGGTCCATGCTCTTCACAATCTTGTAGACCTCTATCAGGTCCCCCCTCAACCTTCATCGTTCCAGTGAGAACAACCCAAGTTTCTCCAACCTCTACTCATAGCTAATGCCCTCCATACCAGGCAACATCCTGGTAAATCTTCTGTACACACTCTCCAAAACCACCACATCCTTTTGTTAGTGTGGTGATCACAATTGAACACAATATTCCAAATGCAGCCTAACTAAGGTTCTATAAAGCTGCAACATTACCTGCCAATTTTTAAACTCAATGCCCCGGCCAATAAAGACAAGCATGCCATATGCCTTGTTGACTACCTTCTCCACCTGCGTTGCCACTTTCAGTGACCTGCGTACCTGTACACGCAGATCCCTCTGCCTATCAGTACTCTTAAGGGTTCTGCCATTTACTGTATATTTTCCATCTGGATTAGACCTTCTGAAATGCATCACTTCACATTTTTCTAGATTAAACTCTGACTGCCATCTCTCTGTGCAAGTAACCAACCGATCTATATCCTGCAGTATCTTTTGACAGTCCTTATCGCTATCACAATTCCTGTGTGTCATCGGCAAACTTACTAATCAGACCAGTTACATTCTCCTCCCAATCATTGTTATATGTAATATATAACAAAATGTCCCAACCCTGATCCCGGAGGAACACCACTAGTCACAGCCCTCCATTCAGAAACCCATCCTTCCACTGCTACCCTCTGTTTTGTATGACCGAGCCAGCTATTTATCTATCTTGCGAGCTCACCTCTGACCCCGTGCGACTTTACCTTCTGTATCAGCCTGCCATGAGGGACCTTGACAAAGGCCTTACTGAAGTCCATGCAG